TTTCAATGAGAAGATGGGAGAAGACAGAGGGAGAGGATGAGTGAAAGGTGGTGATTAAAAAAGAAAAACACACTCATTGTAAGAAGATGTTTAAAGTCATTATTAAAGTTATTGTTTGATACCCCAAAGTGAATGTAAAGAACTGGGATAATCTTGATTAATCTTAAGGAATGTGAGAGAGAATTTGAACCAAATGGAATGAGGTTTTTGTTTTTGGGTTCTGTGATACGTTTGATGAAGACTTGATGGATAGGTGTTATCCTTTTCCTTATTTGGAAGGATGGTGTCTTTACAATCTATCTCAAATAAATGAAATGGACATTGTGTTGATACAAGAGACTCTACAACCAATTAAGAAGACCCAAAAGTCAACATTCCCAAGATCAGAAATGTGTGGCTTCGAGTTAACACCTGACATTGTCCTGATTAATGGAACTCTTAGTGCCTTGCAGTCTGCTTGGACGAGATCTTGAAAGGATTTTATGACGTGAAAGTGTCAACGAAGGTCAATTAATTGTCAAATTGAACTTTGTATCAGAGGAGCTCCCAAATTCCTGAGATTAAAAACCTTGATAACCTGAATCATCTTCTGCAGTTGTAAGCATGAAACTTGCAACTGTTTAATAACTGTCTTGCTGACTAATAAATTAACCCATTGATATATCCATTGCCTCTGTCTACTATCTTACCTCAGGGTCTTACCACATAAAAACCATTCAAACCATTCTATAAAATGGACCATCTTAAATAGACAAGCTATCACTTCTGATGCATTTGTTTCTGGGTAACAGACCAAGCTATGTTAAAGGCCATATGGTGAAAATGGATAAGGATTTGAATCGATTTAGACTTTATTTGGATCAAATTCATACATGGGCACCTAATCCATGTATGCTGCACTTGCTGGTAGGAACTATGCCAGACTTGTGTGGGCTGATATGTGCTCTGTATCACATTACTATTCCAAACCCAGTTATGCAATAGAGTATCTATTTTAAGAAACAACTCATGGGGTGGGTTCTGCAGCCCTAATGTTAAATACGACATATCTGGAGTGGTCTATCAACGTGTTTATATATGGTTCATACACTACCCGTTTAAAAGAGGTGATGTGGAATCATGCATTAATTTGGTAAATATTTGTGTTTCCTTCTGTGCTGTTCTCCAGGAATAACCAAAAGTTCAAATGGAAATAATTTGTCCGGTCACAATCCTCATCATAAAACTATAATTGATGATAAACTGTCTGGTTCCACACAGGAATGTTACAAGAACGATTGATGTGAGAAGTAGAAATAGAGAGTTCTTGAAAACCAGAGAAACAGATTGTAAAATAATAACATTTTACAACAAAACACTTCTTTAGTTTAATGTCCAGGTGCCTTCTACTAGTGTACAATTTCATTATCCTTTTAAATCATTGTTTTAAATTTTTTCTTGTTTATACATGATTTTTCTGTCTCCTTTCATTCTATCTTTCAATTATCTTGCCTTTTGCTTTCTGCACCTTTTGTGCAATGTCACATTTTCACATTTGTTCTACTCCTTGTCTTCTTTGTTTTATGTAGCTTTTTGATGTTTTGCCACAAAAATCCAACAAAATGTGGCACTTGATCGCTTGTCACGTCAAAAGTCGTGCATTTATGCTGTGTTAAGACACTTCCATTGCCATGGTGACAATGGAATCAGTCAACCTCAACACAAAAAAAGGAGGTTGTACACACACCATCTATTCTGTGTGCATTGGGCTGAGGTAAACGGTTGAAAATAGTAGGAGAATGAGACTGACAGAAAGATGTCAATGGCTTAAGTGTTCATAATGAGCTGTTAGTGTATTAATGATGTAGGTATCTGAAATAAGAATAGCAAAGCAAATGTGGTTGAAGTGAAACAAATATCATTTGTTTTATAAGCAGGAATTCCAAATGGTGCTGCACACAAATCACATCTTTCTTGATTGACGCTAGTACCGTGCAGCACTTGGTATTGAGCATCTGGGACCACTTTACTTGGCAGAGCTTAGCTTGTAGGATTGAAAGCATCTTCCCAGCTCCAAATCTGTTTCTGTCAGGTGGATCTCTTGGTTTCGTTCCATCTGGGAAGATACTTTTTAAGACGTATACAGACATCGACAAAGAGGAGCTCTGTGGGGACCCACAGATTCAAACGCAGAACCGTAAACTAGTTCCGTGTTCTGTCCATATCTGACTTGAGTTATCCAGGACACTCGCTATTGGACATGCAGGGGGGTATTCTTGGTAAATTACCAGCCTTTGTCAGTGGTGTTGTATCGTCCATTCACTGACAGTAAATAAGTACCTTGAATGGGAATTCCTAAGTGCACAATGTTAATGTTTAGCCAAATTTATTGAGAAGTAAAAAATGAAATTGATCCATTGCCAGAGGTAATAGTAAATAATAATCTTTGCATTTGACATAGCACTATGTCAAACATTTCAAAACAATTCAGAGAATTTCTATAAAGTGTAGTGACTATCTGCACACAGCCATGTCTGAAAAACAGCAATGAAGTGAATAACCAGTTTTATCTGGGGGTTTGGCTAGTCACTGGGCTTTTTCAAAAAGTGTCAAGGAAACTTTAATGTTCATCCAAAACAGTCAGTATATTTATCAAATAGGGAAATAACGTACCCCTGGGAATGCTGGAGGGAACATGTTACATACTGAAAAACAAATGCGTTTCCTTTCCCAGTATTTTATCTTGATATTGATGGGGAAGACTAGTAGTGTATAAAGTTACATCTATGGTGTAAAAATAAACAAAATATTGCATTGGTCCATAATTATTTTCATTTTAATATATTTTTAAATTAAGGTTACAACATTTAATTACTTTTGACGGTGACATTCAACAGATCATTTTCTAACGTGAATGAACAAGGAAGCATACTCATTCCGATTGAGATGAAAATAATTATACATAGGTTAATGGCAGCATACACAAACTGTGTAAATATAAATTTTCAAAAGAACCGTTAACAGATTTCTGCATTTGCTAAGGCAACACTATACTGCCTGGAGCTAAATGAGTTAGCTGATCAGTGTTATTTCTGGTTTTATAAAGGCTTACAAAAAACTTAAAAGATTTTAAAATGCTTTGGTTTTGAGTCATAATTGATCAAATTCCAATTGATTACCTTCTGAAGGCTGCAGGTACTTGTTGAATAATTCATTTCTAAAGTCTCTAAGGCTGGATCCTTTCTGTTACAACAGGTTTCTTTTTACTTATTTATATCCATGCAGTAATCAAAAAATATAAATTGAGAATTCTGCAATTTTCAAATTATTGCCTTTTGACAAAAATGCTTGCATTTGATATATCGCCTTATCACATTGGAAGGATGTCTCAAAGAGCTTCACAGGATTTACTGTGAAATGGAGCGACTATGTATTTGTAGGCAAACAAGGCAACAACAACAAAATTACACTTATAGAACGCCTTTCATGTCGGATGTCTCAAAGCGCTGAACAGTCAGGTGTTGGGACCTGAGCATGGGGGAGGGTGGTGTAGGGGTGAGGGAAGGCAGAGAAGTGGGAGGGAGACCAAAGGCACAGTCGAAGAGAAGGGTCTTGAGACAGGCCTTGAAGGAGGCAAGGGAGAGAGCGAGGCAAAGGGATCGTGGGATGGAGTTCCAGTGTGGGGGCAGAGAAGCTGAAAGCCCGGCCACCGATGGTAGGGTGGGTCGGGTGGGAGACATGGAGCAGGCCGGAGCCCGATGGACGGAGGGAGCGGGCAGTTGGTAGGGAGTCAGCAGGTCAGAGAGTTAGGAGGGGGCAAGGCCATGGATGGCCTTAAAGATGAGGATGAGGATCTTGAGCTCAAAGGCAGCACAATTCACACAATGTCCCACAAACAGCCATGAAATGAGGGACCAATTTTATTTGGGGGCTATAAACAAAAACAGAAGTCGCTGGGAACACTCAGCAGGTCAGGCAGCATCCATGGAGAAAAGAACGTGAGTCAATGTTTCGGATCCATGACCCTTCGTCAGAACTGGGGCATTTTAGGAGGGAGAGGCTTTTAAGGGCTAACAGAGATGGGGGGAGGGGGGAGATTAACACCTCTATTCCCCTGCTTTGTTGCAATCCCCCCCCCCTTGTTCTGCATCATTTTCACCTCTTTAACTCATCATCCTATCCTCAACTCCATTTTCTCCTGTCTTCCTTGACCTGCCTCCCCTCTCCGTTAGCCCTTAAAAGCGTCTCCCTCCCAACAGCCCCAGTTCTGAAGAAGCGTCGTGGACCCGAAATGTTGATTCACTTTCCTTTCCATAGATGCGGCCTGACCTGCTGAGTGTTCCCAGCGACTTCTGTTTTTGTTTTCAATTTTCAGCATCTGCAGTATTTTGGGTTTCATTTGGGGGCTAGTTGGCCAAACACCATCTTTTTTTGGATAGTGCCACGGGATCATCTTTAATGTCCACCTGAAAAGGCAGACAGGACTTTGGTTTAACATCTCATCTGACGGACAGCACCTCCGACAATCCAATGTTTCCCAGCATTGCACTGGAGTGTCAGCCTAATGTTCAACATGCTGACATGGGGTTTATTGTGCAATTTTGTAACAAAATAACTAAAATACATTCATTTGGACTGGGATAAAAGTCCCACAAATCATTTAATCTTAATCAAACCAATTACCATCTGTGAAGGTGAGAGGGAACTACTCTCAGGACTCCATCTAAGAATCACTGTGGTGAATTGGAGAAAACCCAGCAGGATCCTTGAAATTGAATCCTTCTGAATATCTGTTGAATATATTTGAAATAAATGGTCTTATCGCAGATTATAGATGGTGAAAATAGCTGTGGTATTACTCTAATGCAGTAAATACCAAAAAAATCACTCACAGATTTTAGTTGTGGATAGTACAATGCAAAGTTTTTTCTGTTGGCCCTGTGTACCCTTATCATTCATTCAGTTCTGGACATCTCTGAAACTATAGTTTGTAATTGGTAGCTATTGCAGATGGTAGACTGTTGCATTTTAATGATATAAAGTACCATTTTATTCTTTAAAAAGTAATTGAAAGTTGTGGACTGTTTGCTTGAAAAATCAAGTAAAACACATCTATTTCATTCAAAATGTGTTTGTCCAACCATTACACAGCATCCAAAATTAATTGAAACACATACATGAATTCAAAGTGGCACAAGAATGTTTATACAACCATTATTCTGGATCTTAAGGGACTGTGTGTGCAAGAGTCTCATCAATCTCATCAACATAAATGTACAGGAAGTTCTGTCCCTAACATTAGATACTGACTTTTGTTATGGAACACTGAGGTGCAGAGTTCATGTTCCTATTCAAAATGAGTTTATGGGTCAGCCAGCCAGCTGATCAACAAACAACAAGTCTACAATATGTTACAGTTCTTCAAAAATATGATTGTGATGCAAAATTATAAAGATAACTGTAAATCTAGTGAACTACAAATGGAATTGTTTTATTAACACAAATGCAGATACAGACATAAATTACTATTTAGAGAAGACAATAGAAAATGTTACAGCAATGATTGTATTTTATAGCACTTTTAAATAATCGTTTTATTAGAATGCTTACTCTGAAATATATTTGCATCTGAAACACAAAAAAAATCAAAATATGTAGCTGATGCCAATATTACACTTAGAGTTTTCAAGTTATGCGTAATCACAATATACTTTCATACCAAGCTGATCATCTTGAACTGTTTTCTACTTTGCTTAATATGATACATCTTAAAGAATTACAGCACACAAACACTTCAGAAAAAANCATTATCCACTGACAAACTGTACTTCAAAATATTCAGCAACACACTTCTCTGTATTCCAGGTATAATAAGCCAATGGAAGTAACCATAGATGCAAGATTGGTAAGACAAACTCAGCTTCTGGTGGTGACAGCTGGTGGTTGTTCTGACTGAAGCTGTTTTCCAAGATACTCCCTGACAAGAAAATGGAAAAAGTTTATCATAACATTTTAGAAAAGTCTGAGAAACAGTTTCTACAAAAATCTCATTATATATTCCATTCTAAAATGGATACTGTAATCATAACAATAAACAAGCATAGATAAGCTTTAAATCTCAATACCAGATCTTAGTTCATTCAACAGAATTCCATTTGATTTATGTCAGCGCTATTTCAATATAGTGATAAGAACATCTAATAGACCTATAATTTAATGTGGGCCATAAGGCACAAAAGCTCGGTTGATATGCATTAAATTTTGGATACAATAAAAGGCTCAGCAAGCTAGTAGTACAGCAATACTGTGTCGCTGCAATTAATAAAATGTATCAAACACAAAGGAATCTAACTTTTCCCTGTCAACGGTTCGTTCTGACAAAAGGTTATCGACTGAAACGTTAACTCATTTTCCTCTCTTCATAGAGTGGGGAGCAGCATTTTAGATGTTGGAACTGATGAAAAAAACAACAGCTTGTTTTCACCTGAATCACTGCTAGCTTGGTATCAAGAAAATAATCTTGCTCCTTTGATATATGCTTGTATATCACAATGTCCCAGTTCTGACGAAGGGTCATGGATCCGAAACATTGACTCACGTTCTTTTCTCCATGGATGCTGCCTGACCTGCTGAGTGTTCCCAGCGACTTCTGTTTTTGTTTATTTTTTTATAGCCCCCAAATAAAATTGGTCCCTCATTTCATGGCTGTTTGTGGGACATTGTGTGAATTGTGCTGCCTTTGAGTTCAAGATCCTCATCCTCATCTTTAAGGCCATCCATGGCCTTGCCCCCTCCTAACTCTCTGACCTGCTGACTCCCTACCAACTGCCCGCTCCCTCCGTCCATCGGGCTCCGGCCTGCTCCATGTCAGGAGGTTATCCCAAGGCACTGGACAGTCAGAGAATTTGACCCAAGCAGGGGGTTGTGATCAGGAGGTTTGGAGGGCAGGGAGAGTAGAGGTAGAAGCGTGGCCGAATGCGCAGCCAAAGAGGGTCTTGAGACATGCTTTGAAGAAAGCAAGGGAGGGAACAAGACAAAAGGGATTAGGGAATTGAGTTCCAAGGGGTAGGGCAGGGAAGCTAAAGGCCCAACTGCTGATGGTGGGGCAGGCCGGAGCCTGCTGAGTGGAGGGAGCAGAAAGGTTGATTACAAAATATTAGTGTGGTTTGGGCAAATTTTATAAAATTGACAATATTTTAGATACAAATATGGGAGTCATGACAATTTAAAATAAGAATTGAAAAATAAGAATAAAAGGGGGGCTGAAATTTCAGCTATTTATTTTATTAAGGTGGCATTTCAGAGATTCTAGAATTTTCGAAAATGTTTGAAATCAGTCTTAACTTTGAAGCCTCCTTTTTTTGGCTAAGTTAAATTTTACTTCTTTGTATTTTTTGTATCCACACACTTAATCATAAACTGTCAAACTTCCCTCGGAGATTGTAAATGGGAATGAATCCAACCCAAACCTTAATGTTATCCATATCAAGCAACCTTAGACATTAAAATTTGGTCACTCAATCCATGACTGTTTGTGAGACACTGCTGTGCGCAATTGGCTGCCACGTTTTGCCCACAAAATATACAGTCAATTCACTTTAAGATATATTCTGTGAAGCGTTTTGAGACATCTCGAAGATGTGATAAGAAGCTATATCAAATGCAAGAATTATTATTATAAATAATTATAGCTGGAATATTGGAAGTAGAATGATTTAAGTGGTAGTGACAAGCAAGACAGGGTCGAGTTATCCGGAGTTTACTGTATTTGAACAAAAATGTGCTCTAAGTGTTCGAAACAGTAGGGGGAGCAACTGATCTGAAACCTGGAAATCTGCCGAACTACAAAAACAAATCAAAGAACAGTATGTTGTGTAATCTGTTTTTATAACAACAGGCCAATTCTCTCTAAAGAAAATTATTATACAGTGGTTAGCATACATTATAGGGACCATTTCAACTATCATTTTAAAATACGTTTGCATATTCATATTACATTAAAAATAATTATCACAATATCAGAATAGAAAAAGCTAATTTGGTTGATTACTCTGAAGAAACCAATTTGCTAGTTTGTAGAAAAGCTCCTCTTCTTAAAATATATAGCTGTACAAGTTGATTTTAATTTTTAAGACAATTTGGTTTTATCCATATGTGCATTAAACATGGATAAAATCAAGTGTTTCACTGTCACAACATACAAAGAAATCAACATAAGATAAAGAAAGTAACTTTGAAAAAAGTTATTTTATCAGCATATTAATAATATTGAAAGCTCATGATTTAGAAAAGGATTTGATTTCATAACACATATTACACAACTATCAACAGATAACACATAAGACTTACACTCTTCCAAAGAAAAGCTCCTTATAAACCGACACTAAGCTTGAATAGACCCTTTCAAAATATTGTGTGTGCTGTCACGTATTGCTGTGGAATGAATATTATAAAGATTGTACATCGGATAGGCTTTGTGGCCCAACAGTGATATTTTGCAACCTAGAGATCTTTAATTTAAAATCACAAAAATAAACAAGAGGAACAGTATTGTTTCTTAATGAAAATTGCCTTTCTTTGATGGCTGCAAGGATCCTAAATGAAGCAATTATGAGCAATTTCAGTCTGAATTTCTGAAGTATAAAAACTGGCTTTGACACACACACACACACACACACATACTTCTGACTAAAAACATGGCTCTCAACAATGGCAGGTTTAGAAGAGCTGAGATTCAAATTGCCAGTTTCAAGAGACCCTCTTGAAAGGCTTAATAAATTAAATATAACTTTTTTTTGTTTTTGCTGTTATACCACAGGACATAATTATCAACCTTTTAGCAAAATGGGATAGGAGAATTTTGGCCCTGAGAAGAATGGATATACTGAATAGACTGCAAATACAGTTAATGTTGTCTAAATAAATGCCTTTAAAATAGAACTGTAAAAGCACCTGGTTGAAAATATAAATTAAGATTTTAAAATCAATGTAGACGGAACAAATTAAGTACTTCTTGGAACATGTTTGCTCCTGTGCTACTGAAATCTCATCTGTGGAAACAACAACAAGATTCCATTTATTGAGCGCCTTTCACGTCGGGAGGATGTCCCAAGGCGCTGTACAGTTGGGTCAGGACCCGAGCAGGGGGGAAATGGTCAGGGTGAGGGAAGGAGCGAGGAGGGGGTAGAGAGTCGAGAGGGGAGCCGAAGGCTCGGTCAAAGAGAAAGGTCTTGAGACCGGCCTTGAAGGAGGAAAGGGAGGAGGCGGCGAAGGCACTGGAGGATAGAGTTCCAGAGCCTAGGGGCTGAGAGGCTGAAGGCCCGACCACCGATGGTAGGGCGGTTGGGGCGGGGGATGTGGAGAGGACCGGAGCCAGAGGAACGGAGGGTACGGGCAGGTAGGTAGGGGGATAGTAGGTCAGAGAGGAAAGTAACCACCCACTTCAATTTTGCTTGATTATCTTCTGATTGTCCTCCTTGGGAGCATGAGGTATATTCTAAGACATTCATGAAGTGCTCTATATAAATGCAATTTGTTTTTAATTGTTTCTTTTGGCTGAACTGGCCCCTAGGTGACGTGCTTGGCAATGGCATATCGGAATCAAACCAATCTGTCAGTGGTCTTAGCAGTTTTGTTACTGAGCCCAGACAGGTCTGCAGTGTTCCAAGGCAAATAATAATGACAGACTTGCAGCCTAGCATATCAGCAGAAGATGGATTATCATTAATTCTACAGGACTAGTCCTAGCATCGATGCAGTTTTCATTTATTCAACACTTTAAGGATTATCCAACACTACACCCCAAAACATCAACTACAATAAGAATTCTGTCTTGGAACCAGATCTTAACACAGGAAATCAGTACTGCTTTGCATCAAAACATTTTTAATAACCTCCACTTCTAAAATGTTTTCTGTGCCATATCTTTTCTCCAGGTGTGCAATTGATCCGTATTTGTACTGTGCATTCAATTTATAAAATAACGAGAAAGTAACAATACATTACAAAGTCAATCAATAACCAATTATCAAAACAAAAATCGTAATACACCAGACACCAAGACATTTCCTGTCTTACAAGGTGTGATGGCACCATTCTAATTTTTGTGATAAAAGTATAAAGTGCACTAACATTTTCAAAATAGAGCACAAGACTCAGTGTTACAAGATTGCTGCATCGCAATTTCTAATATGATTATTTGGGCTCACAGTCAACGCAATAATGCAGTATTTATTAGAATTTTAATTTCATTTCTGCAATTTTACTGTTCTATCTGCTAACTTCAGAGTCCCTGGTACAATAAGTCAGTTTGCCATCCAGATGCAAATGTATATTATAAGATTACTATTTACACAGATTATGAACTGTGGCTCTTAACAAATCTTCTCTTTGACCGTGCCTTCAGCTCCCCTCTTGACTCTCTTCCCCCTCCTCGCTCCCTCCCTTCCCTCCCCTCACCCTGACCATTTCCCCCCTCCTTGCTCCCTCCCTTCCATCACCCTGACCATTTCCCCCCTGCTCGGGTCATGACCCAACTGTGCAGCGCCTTGGGACGTCCTCCTGACGTGAAAGGCGCTTTATAAATGGAATCTTGTTGTTGTTGTTGTTGTTAACTATTCTATTTCACACTATTAAATATAAATAATTACAAATACTGTTTCAATTCCTATTTTTCCAAAAAACTTTTACATAATTCCTGCAGCTGAATATCAGCAAGACGGAAGCCATACTATTTATCTTTCTCCTGTGGGTCTGAACTCCACCTCCCCGGGGACTTACTCAGACTCACCGAACCCGTGTGCAATTTAGGCGTCAGGTTCAATCCGTAGCTTTCCTTTCTACCACACATCCATTCTCTGACCAGGATTGCTTTTTTCCAACATTACATTGCCCACCTCCATGCATACTTCACAACAAAAACAGCCGAAAGCCTCATCCACACCGTCGTCACTTCCTGGCTGGACTATTCTAATACCCTCCTCGCTAGTCTCGCCAGCTCCACCATACACAAAATTCAATTAATTCAAAACTCCACCATCCGGATACTCACCCACATAAAACTCTGTACCCCCATCACACCAGTCCTTGCCAGGCTCCACTTGCTCCAATTACCGAAAACGATTTCAAGATTCTCTTACTCACTTTCAAATCCCTTCATGCCCTCACACCTCCCTACCTATCCGATCTGCTTACCCTCCACCACCTGCTGACTCCACTCGACTGGCTCCAGCCTCCTGTTTGGCCCTTGTCCCCTCCTCTCCATCATCTGTGGCCGTGTCTTCAGGCACTACGCCAGGAAACTCTGAGACTTTCTGCCTCAATCCCTCCATCTTGCCCTCTTCCTCCCCACTTTCAAATCCTGCCTAAAAATCTTCCTTTTTGATCATGCTTATGGTAAACTCCTCCCTTCCTCTGCCACTGGCTCGGTGTCAGACTCCATCACTTGTTAAGCGCTTGGGGGGCACTATCCCGGATGAAGGGCGCAATATAAATGCAAGTTGTTCTCCAACAATTACAAATTAAATTTGTATAGCACCTTTCCTGTCAGGAGGACATCCCAAGGAGCTGTACGTATACCTTTAAATAATAATAATAATGCTTGGATTTGATACAGCGCCTTATCACATCTTCTAGATGTTTCAAAGAGCTTCAAAGTGAATTGACCGTATATTTTGTGGACAAAACCGGACAGCCAATTACCCCCAGAAAAGCGATCTGCCATTCGACTAACAATCGGGTTCCTACTTACTGCTGGATAAATAGAAGCGTATGAAGTAATGAAACTTGCCCAATGTTTCACCGTGCCTGGGAATTGAACCCAGGTCTTCTCGCTTGTGAGCCGAGCGCTCTCACCACTAAGCTACAGGACTCCATAGGAAAGTTCAACATAGGAAAATGTCCTGTGAACATTTTGTCATGCATAAACTATGAAAATGTGAAATGTACTGCTACAAACGGCTATAGTTGCAGCAGCAATAGAAATGTTTTAAAAGTAGATACACAGATACTTATGAAGTTTGTTTGTTTTAAAAAAAATCAACATGTAAATGATTTACTATATAATTATAACTACTCACCAGTTATGTACCATTAGTTTTTGAACTGCCAAGAGAGCATTGTAGCGAACCTGTTGGTCTTCATGGTGCATATGGTTCATTACCAGCTGCTTGCCTCCAAGTTGCTCAATTACACTGAAAATAGCAACATATAAACCAATCATAATATCAATAATTCACAAATTATATTTGTTTTCTAATATTTTAGAAAACACATTTAAAGTATTCACAAAATTCTTGGAATGGCCAATAACAAGAATCGGAAGGATCAGTATTAATAACAACAACAACAAGATTACATTTGTATAGCACCTTTCACGTTGGGAGGACGTCCCAAGGCGCTGGACAGAGTACAGCATTTCAGACCAGAGGGAAGCGAGGGGAAGGGGGTGCCCAATGGCATGGTCAAAGAGGAGGGTCTTGAGGCGGACTTAAAGGAGGCTAAGGAGAGGGTGAGGTGGAGTGACTGGGGCATGGAATTCCAGAGGTTGGGGGCAGAGTGGCTGAAGGCTCTCCCGCCAATGGTGGGGCAGGTGGGTCAGGGGACGTGGAGCAGGCCAGAGCCGGCTGAGTGGAGGGAACGGGCGGGTTGGTTGGGGGATTATAAAGGCACCCTTGTGCTAGAAAATTTAGTTGATGAGATATTAACAACCAACAAAATTGCAAATTGGCATTATTCAGGCAAGGCCCACTAAAGGTAAGGATCTGAAAGAGAGCGTAGGAGTATATTTTTTGCACACAGACAGTGGTGGGAATGTGGTAATGAAAATTACTTTTAAAGAGTTGCTCCGACCTTCTGAAATGGATGATGGAATCTGGAAACACTAATAGGAATTCTAATAGTGAGGAAAATATAAGTGTGATTAAGCTGGTGGAAATTGGCTGTCATGTTTGTGTACTTTAAAAAATAATTATTTATTTCCAGTTCATTGGGTCTTTTTTCATTTAGCCAGTCACTCATGTAGGTCCTGTCTGCCTTGCGATTCAACAACAACAAGAAGAAGATTCCATTTATAGAGCGCCTTTCACGTCGGGAGGACATCCCAAGGCGCTGGACAGTTGGGTCAGGACCCGAGCAGGGGGAAATGGTCAGGGTGAGGGGAGGGAAGGGAGGGAGCGAGGAGGGGGTAGAGAGTCGAGAGGGGAGCTGAAGACACGGTCAAAGAGAAAGGTCTTGAGACGATTCAGGTGAACAAGCAGGATCCTTCCCCTTCCGATTTTTCAAAAACTGGAGTTTTGCTCTCGATTCTATTGGTTTATATTTGCCCTTCAACGAAATTCAACCCAAAAATTCAAACGATTTGGCTACTCATCTTATTGTTGTTTACAGGTTGTTGGTGTAACAAATTCATTAATCAATCTCTTTTTGTAAAAGGCTTTTAAATGCTTCTTTTAAATAAAAAGTACTGAATAAATGAAGCTTCCTTTATGTGAAAGGTGCAATATAAATGTGTGACTTAAAAAATGTAGGTACATTGCATACTAATGTTTAATTCTAATTCTTCAACACATATTCAATTTCACACTTTCAATATTGTAAGATACTTGCTTTAATCCATTTGAGAACACAAATGGAAATGCTAAGAATTTCTAAATTACCAATAGAACATTTCTATGGTGTTTATGATGATAAGTATGCAAAGCTATTATGAATATGAATTGTTTCACTTGCAAACTAATTACCGAGAAGAAAAAGGGGATTTGTATTATTTTACCGTTTTCCTCGAGGGTAGTGGCGCACATATTCACCAACATCATGTGCAGCCACAGCCAACACTTGTGGGTCATCTGAGACTTCCAAAAGCCTTGTCAAAATTCTTCACGAAAGACAGAAAAATACAATAATGGAATTAGTCTGTATTAATTTCATAATACAGTACAATCTGTATTCAATACAATATAAAAAGTAATTACTGTACTAGGTTCTTCTAAAAGGATTCTAAGCAATCTTGATTGGGTAATGTACAGTCAGTCAAACCTGTTAAAGCAACCGCGTCTATTGAGCAACCAGCCTGGAAGACTTCAGATGGATTTTCCATAATAAACTACTTCTATTCAGTAACAACCTGTCCAATACAACCAGTGGCTACTCTCCTTTACAAACACTCTTTTCAGCAGCCAGTTCTAAGTGAATTTAAGTGGACTTATCAGTAATACATTATCAATTTCTGCAGGCTCCCATATAGAGTCCCACTAGACTCCTGGTGCATTTACCAGCACCGTTGAGCAGGCCACAACTTCCTGCTTTATAATAATCCTTGCATTTGATATAGTGCTTTTCACGTCTTCTAGACGTCTCAGAGCGCTTCACAGAATACATTGTAAAGTGAATCTACTATAAATTTTGTGGACGAAACACAGCAGCCAATTGCACACAGTAGTGTCACACAAACAATCGTGGATTGAGTGACCAAATTAATATTGTTGCTTGTTTTTCTTGAGGATTTATTATCAGGCGTGTGGAGTAAGGAAACTTGCCCAAGGTTTCGCCCCGCCAGAATCAAACCCAGGTCTATCGCTTGCGAGTCGAGTGCTCTAACCACTGAGCTAGACTCCTAACTGGTCAGGCAGTGTTGCTAGGAGTCTAGTGGGATCTACACTAGACTTACAATTTACAATAAAAAATTGGTCATTTTCAATCTACGACTGCTTGTGGGACATTGCTGTGCGCAATTGGCTGCCGCGTTCGCCCACAAATATGCAGTCAATTCACTTTACAGTGTGTTCTGTGAAGCGCTTTGGAACGTCCTCCCGACGTGAAAAGCGCTATATCAAATGCAAGGATTATTATTATTATTACACAGGAGCCAAAAAAATCTTTGGTCTGCAGAATTTGTTTTAATTTTCAGGCTCGGACTACAAACCATTACTCAAGAGGACACCTTTACATTAAGCCACTTGGGTCTTGTGAAGACTGTTGAACCTAAGAAAAACAGGTTTTATCAGCACAGGGAAATAATGCCATAACAAGGCACTCAAAAATTTTATATTTTGAGATATTGTCTACAAAAACAAAACTGTAACAATAAATTTATTAGAAGACCTTATTTCACAATTGGAATACTGTGTACAGTTTGTAAACCAAGATCAATAATTTAGGATGAATGAAAACAGTAGAACAAGAGGATATAGGTTTAGCGTTGTAAAGGGCAATTCAGGATAGACACTAGCAAGTTTTTCTTTACACAGAGGGGAGCTTGGATTTTCACATCTGGAGGGCGAAGCTAGTTGTCAGAATGACCTCCAGCCTTCACAACTTTCTAAGATTTCCCCAGAGCTGCTCCCTGGTCCACAAACCGAAACCAGCCTCTCATGCTCTTCGCAGCCTACAGATTTCCAAAGCCCTTATTTACACCAAACTAAAACATAAGTTGCTGGGAACACTCAACAGGTCAGGCAGCATCTATGGAGAAAGTGAGTCAAAGTTTCGGGTCCACGATCCTTTGTCAGAACTGGGGCATGTTGGGAGGGAGAGGCTTTTAAGGACTAACAGAGAGGGGGGGAATGCAGGGCAAGATAATGGAGAAAATGGGGTAGAGGACAGGGGATGATGGGGTAAAGAGGTGTTAATGATGCAAAACAAAGGGGGGGAATTTCAACAAAACAGGCAGACCAGAGAGAGAAAAGGTATGTCTAGGACCTGGATGACGTGGTATTGGTCACAGAAGAGGGGGAGGGGGAAGGTGAGCTGTTATGGTCTGAACTTATTGAATTATTGAAACACCTCCTTATTTACACCTCCAGGGTACTCCACTTGATTTGTCTTGACCCTATTAAAGGGCACTCACAACAAGCAGGAAAGTGAGATTTGATTAAATGATTCAGTGGAGATTCATGGGCTAAATAACTAATTTCTGTGCTGTAACATTTTGAGCCTAAACTTACTTCAATAATTCATAGTTTTTCTCATTCAGCCTTGAAGCATTCTCCCGCCAGAATTTCTCTGATTTATGGACAGGACTCCACTCCAGGCGTCCCGACTTCAGTTCTGAACTATATTCATCAAAAGAGCTGGAAAAGGCAGAAAAAACACTGAAACTAGCAAATATATCTAAAATGAATTGGGAAAAGCATAATACTTAAAAATTCTTGTGCGTAAGTGAATTGGTTGATGATTTTGTGTACTTAATTTTCATTGCATCTTTATCAACACATTTGAAGCAGGACAGCTTTAGTGTCCCAACCATGCAACAGAGGAGTGGTGAGGAAATGTAGAAAACATAAAGATGATTTATAGAGCATGGGAATGTACCTTAAATCTATGAGAAAAATATTTAATCAAGATTCAAATTCTGATTGCCCCAGTTTGATATGCTACTGTATACACGGTTTATGGAATACAACAGGCATTCTGTAGTATTGGCTCAGGTTTCAGACTAACAAGACTTTCAAAGCATCAACTTGATTTAATCTTCCATTTCCAGGTGTGTGACCTTGGAGCCAACTAAACCCTGAAGAGATCCTACTAACCTCTTCCCCAAGGAGGATAGTCAGTGGTTGATATTTAGACATGCACATGTTTGAGCCCTCACTTTGTGGATAGCTGGTACCAGATACTACTTGCATGCATGATTCGCTTCCCAGTTTCCTTGTCAGCTATGTAATGGACATCTGCCTTCAGTGTGATGGGAACACCTATACAGGACATTCTGGGATGTGCTATTGAGCTTCCTATTCTAGTGGACCAAGACCAGAACCATATTGTCATCAATTGTTTAACCCAGGTGCTGTTGAATGGCCATAGCAAAGAAACTTGCCTGTCATGTAGCTAATTCCACATCCAGGTCGTTGAGCAAAGGACACCCTTCCTTTAGCCACTTATACTATAAACAGCCTCATAGTTTGTTCACGAACCTTGCAAATGAGCCAAAGGAAACCCCTATGTTGGATGCCCAACAGTTCCAAACCATGAAGGAGAAATATTTGGACGCATGTCTTATCAACCACAAACTTATCCTGCATTGGGACTGTCCTATCATAGATTGAAGAAAGACATTTTCAACATATGGCAATGTACCTTGGCTGCAGATTGGCAAGTACTAATAAGTTCAAGGTTGCGCATACAAGAAGTAAAAACAGAAGGCACATCCACTCTACAAATGGAATAGAAGGTGCTAACTGACTTATTAGTTATGTCCAAATATGGTAAGGCAGCAATAAACAAGGCAAAAAGAATGCTTGCTACAATACTAAGCCAGTAGAGCTTAGAGATGCAAAACTCCATCTTGTGTTGTCATATATGATTATTTTATTTTAAAATTTAAGACTGTGCAGATAGCTGCTCTTTTGTCAGACTGCAGCTGGAGCACTGCACACAATTCTTGTTATTTTTATGTGCACAGTATAGAGGATTGTAACTAGGCTGAATCTCTAGTGTTATGGGAAACTGAACACAATGTTTGTTATTCTGCCGTGCACAGTGTAGAGGAATGCAACTCGGCTGAATCTCCAGCGTCAGATAAACTACGGCTCTTCAGCTGCAAAAAAAAAGATGAGGGGTCCGTACAGAGACATATAAACCACTGAATATAAAAGAGGGTGCATACCCAGAAGAATAGGTTTACTGATGCACCAGAACCAAAGGGACAGGGGATACAGGTTCAGAATTAGTGTCATGCCCTATTAGTAGTCATCATTAAGTATTCCACAGAAAAAATCAATATCTAGAACAGTTACCAGAAAGGATAGTTAAGAGCAGAACACAAAAAAGAAACAACCTAATCCTATAATGGGAATATTCTAGGGTGAGCATTCTTGAAAATAAGATCAAATGAGTCAAACAGCTTTTCTATTCAAATCTTGCTTGTGAAACAACATTCATTTCTATTGTAACTTGGTTAATATTCATTATAAACATTGACATTACCGGCTGTGGAAAATCCATTACAGTACACAGACATCAGAATGGTTAAGATACATGTACTGCATGTTTAAAATTTTATGAAGCTGTCAAAGTAATTATTGGAGGTCTATCTTATTGAATTGTTCTTTTTTTTATATTAACTAATGGAGCTTCGGCTGGGTACAGAACCAAAAGATGCTGAAGGTCAAGACTTGTAAAGAACTGGCTGATATTGTATATCATAAATGTCCTCTCATTTCTGGTTAGTCCAGTCAAGATCTATATACAGAATTACTATTTCTATTTGACAGAGTGCCTTGTCACATAGAAAATGAATTTCTCTGAGGGCAGCTAGGGTTTTGTGTCAAATGTCGTTTGGGCAATCTCAAATCAAGGCTCAAAGAGGCCTCAGGGATAACTGGAGAATGGAAAAGCCACATTATAGTGCAGTATTGTAATGTTGGGGACAAATCCCACTATTTACTCATGTAATCCTGTGTCTAAAGAATACAACACCTTATTTGGCACAGTTTAAAGCACTGGATTGAAGAAGTCAAAAAGGAGAGTTCTATTCCTCACCTTCATTTTACCACTTTTTTTGAAGAAAAATGTATGTTATGAGCTTGGAAAGATTTTAAGTGTTTTTTAAGAAATGAAGGGAAGTCAATTATCTTACAACAATGCACACAGTTCCATATCTGTTTTCTGAATGAACTCAAGAAGTTGACACAAGATCAACAATGAAGCTTGGCGAAAGATGTGACCAAATCTTTGAGCTAACATGTTACAAGTATTAAAAAAATGCTCATGAGTCTAGCTAAAAGTGCAAAGGGAATACAAATCAGTTAGTTACCATCTTAATTTCATACAAACAATATTGCAGAGCTGTGTAATTTAATTCATTTGATCTACTGTTAGAGAAGAATTGGTAAATATCTTCTTAATGACCCACCTGAGATCTTGAACACTCTCGCCAAGTTTCTCTAAGAGGTATTTAATGTCATCAGCAATGTCTTCATCATCATATTTCTGTTGTTCAAGGTTCTCCAGTTGTTTAAGGACTTTGCACTGAATCATCGCAAGTGCGTATTCCTGAAGAGTTTCTCTTTCTGCAGATTTTTCCAGGAGATTCTGCTTAAAAAAAAGGTTACTTCAATTGATGAAGTCAGTCGGCAAATTATTTTAGTTATTTTATAATTTCAACTGTATTTGTAACTATCCTTTTTATGAACATATTCAATTAAGCATCCTGCAGCATATTTAATCAAGTTGGTCCTGTATTGCTCTCCATAACAGTATGGTAAGCCTATTCTCTGCCCCCTTGAATGCATCTTGACAAATGTTGCAGAGAGTAGGAATGTTCAGCTGCATCTCCAAGTTCTACCAATGCGTCAGGCTGACTCTGCCTGACACAGAAACTGAACCAAAGAAACCCCTACAGAGGGTTGACTGAATTCTGACATTCCAAGCACGTCACGTTAAGAATATCCAAATCAGATAGAGTTCACATATATATGTTGGATACAGCAGGAAATTTCTGTGTCTGGAATGGAATGCACACTCTCCATTGAGGGATACATCCTGCTTACCAAATTCTTGCGTATTTGAGTCAGATTTCCAAGAGCCAACCCTGGGAACTCCAGAGTGTGCATTGGGATTCTGTGGTGTTCAGCCAGCTAAAACCACATTAATCACCTGAAGGAAAGTTCTACTTAAATCTCTGATCCCTATCCCTGTTTCCAGCAGTACAAGAACCAGCAATTGGTTATTCCTGCAAATTGCAGTCACTACATTTTACAGTATATCCTGCGAACATCCTCTCAACGTGAAATGCAAAAGCGCAGTATTATCTAAACTCTTGCGGTCAATTTATGCCGCAGTATTGGCATTAGGTCAGTCTACCTAACTTTAAAACCTTAAAGCCTCAAAAAAGTTAAGTTTAAAACAGTGGAATCCATTTTCCTGTAATCATATTGTTTCTGCTGATTTCTTGTCATCAACAGTGTGACTCTGCTCTTTACTATAATTGGTATACTATCATTGGTATCCCGACGTGAAAGGTGCTACACAAATGTAATTTTGTTGTTGTTATTGGTAGGTGCCAGTATTATTGATAATACCCCACCAAGTGGTAATTTCCTTCCCCTTGTCAGATGTTGAATGATTCTTGCCAGCAAGGTAAATGGATTTAATTTACAATCTAAGTCTGCTGGAGTCTAACCAGCTAAAACCACATAGTTTGCCATTGATATCGCTGTCTTGACAAGCTTTTCTGCTGCTTATCCAGCTAGGACCTCCCGACCTGTTAGGTCTTTGGCTTGCAGGATTAACAGGAGCTGAATAGGTTGATTCCCTGCCCCCAGTGTCTGGTCTGCCATTCCAAGTCCTGTCAATGAGCCAGGCTGTGCTGTTATCTGCAGGGTCTGGAATACTGTGAACCCGCTTGGTTCAGGAATCGGAATACCGAGACCGCCACAGAAGGTTGGTTCAGTTCCGACTTTCCATTGCCAAGCATTCCCCCACCCCACCTGAAGAAGGATAGACACAGGTCTATCAGCATTACAAATTAATTTAAAACAAAAATATCAATGGAAATCTCTAATTTTGTAATGTCTTAATTGAAGGTTCTGATTATAGATTTAGAGATCCCAAAATGTAATAACCAGATGTGATTTTTTTACATACAGTATTTCTTACATCATACAGTTCAACCTTATTAATGCTGTATTTTAAAGGATTTGTAACTGATTATTCCCCAATTTGTTTTTACGGAATTTTGCAGTAAACTAAATTTTACCAGTATTGTGAAAACAAATTTTATTTCAACCTATGTTGGGCATACTGTATAAACCATTACCTTAGTTATATAGTAGGAAACAAGCACACAGCAGTAAGATTTTCTAGGACATATTACTTAGAAATAATAGTGACTTGAGCATTCAAATATTCAATTGCAGCAAAGAGCTTGCTAAGAATAATGAAGAAAAATCGATTTAATTCACACAATTCAAATATTTCTCGTGGAAAAACAGTTTCTTACGTTATAGATTGAAAACAGCTTAAAATGACCAATTAAACAAGAATATCAAAGAGAAGCAAGGGCCACAATACAAGCATGTTCTGCGGTCTTGTTGGGATTTTTCTTGTGTTCTTTTCAAATAAATTCTTCACCTCATTCTGAAAGGCTGCACAAATGTACAGTGACTGGGATCCATATTGCAGCCATGTTATAACAACATTTATGCTATAAAGAATTACATTATAATGGAACTCCTCTGTATTTCGAAGACAGGAAAAGAGGAAGTAGGACAAAGAGATTTTGGAAGAGAAGACCAAAGATAGGGTAGGAGTATTTGTAGCTGCCAATGGAGAAAGCAGAGAACGAGGATAGTGCAAAAACAAAAATATGACATGTACATCTTTCAGGTTATTTAGTACTAAACATCATTAGACTAGTTTAGATCACACTTGCATACATACCCTAAATGTTGCTAGGATGATTCTGGTTACTTTTTCTTTTACTGATTCCTGAAGAATATCAGATAAAGCTGGAACTATGTTCAATCTTCGTAAATATTCACACAATTGTGAACTGAAGGCCAACAGCCAGAAAGAGAAGATCATTTGGTACTGAAGCTGAAATCCACATTTATTATTCAAAACAGCCATGATGCTGCAGGAAAAAAGGTAAAAGAAATTCACCATTGGGTTTTGTTGAGCTCCGTATTATATAAAACCACTCAAAGCAATGATGTTCTAATATTAGCTCTCACTGAAAATAATGGGATATTATTGTGAAAATAAAAGATGCATTATATTTTTACTACTACGTTTAAGTTTTAAATCAAAAGATTACAACAACAAGATTACATTTGTATAGCGCCTTTCACATCAGGAGGATGTCCCGAGTCGCTGGACAGAGGACAGCATTTCAGACCTGAGCTGGGGTTGGGGGGGTAAGGCAGGGGAGGGGAAGGCCGATGGCATGGTCGAAGAGGAGGGTCTTGAGGCGGGACTTGAAGGAGGCTAACGAGGGGGCAAGGTGGAGTGACTGGGGGATGGAATTCCAGAGGTTGGGGGCAGCGTGGCTGAAGGCTCTCCTGCCAATGGTGGGGTGGGTGGGTCTGGGAGCGTGGAGCAGGCCAGAGCCGGCTGAGCGGAGGGAACGGGTGGGTTGGTAGGCGGTTAGGAGGTCGCAGAGGTAGGGTGGGGCTAGGCCATTGAGGGCTTTGTATGTGAGGACCAGGAGCTTGAACTAGATCCTCTGTAGGATAGGGAGCCAGTGGAGTCGGACGAGAATAGGGGAGATGGGGTCACGGAGTTTGGTGCGGGAGAGGACACGGGCTGCAGAGTTCTGGATTATCTGCAGCCTGTGGAGGGAGGAGTTGGGAAGGCTGACAAGCAGGGCGTTTGCATAGTCCAGCCTGGAGGTGATGAAGGCATGAACAAGAGTTTCAGCGGCCTGAGGGGTGAGGTAGTGGCGGAGTCGGGCGACGTTACGGAGGTGAGGGAAGGCAGAGCGGGTCATGGCTTGAATGTGGGGGAGAAAAGGCAACTGAGGGTCGAACAAGACACCTAGGTTTCTGACTGGCTTGGTGAGTTGTAGTGTGCAACCATGGAGGTTGATGCTGCCAGAGCCTGAGGTGGTGAGGCGCTGGCGCGAGCCAATCAGGAGGGCCTCAGTCTTGTTCACATTCAACTGCAAGAAATTTGCCCTCATCCAGGACTTGATGTCCGACAGGTAGTCTTTCAGGGCAGCAGTGGTCCTGGAGTTGAAGGTGGAGGGAGAAAGATAAGAGTTGGGTGTCATCCGCATACATGTGGAAGTTGACCCCATGTCTGCAGATGATGTCACCAAGGGGGAGCATATAGATATTAAAGAGAGGGCCAAGGACAGAGCCCTGGGGGACGCCAGATCTGACAGTGCGGGGGCTGGAGGAGAAACCGTTAGAGGCAACAAAGTGAAGACAGTGAGAGAGATAGGAATCGAACCAGGCAAAGGCAGGTCCGTGAAGATTGAGTAAAGCAGAGAGGCAGTGTATGAGGATGGAGTGGTCGACAGTGTTGAAGGCGGCAGAGAGGTCGAGGAGGACAAGGAGGCAGAGGGAGCCCTGATCACAGATGTTCAGAATGTCATTAGTGACTTTGACCAGGGCTGTTTCCATGCTGTGGGCAGCGCAGAAGCCGGATTGGAGGGGTTCAAAGAAGGAATGGCAAGAGAGAAAAGAGCGGAGCTGGGATGCGACGACTCGTTACAGGACCTTGGAGAGGAAAGGGAGGTTAGAGATGGGGCAGTAGCTGGAGAGGAGGGATGGATCCAGGGAAGATTTTTTTAGTATGGGGGTGATGACGGCTGTTTTTAGGGGGGTGGGAACTGAACCAGTGGACAGGGAGAGGTTGATGACATTGGACGGGAGGGGGATTAATAAATAAATTAATAAATAATTTTGTCTAAGTTCAAATCATTTATCTCACATTTCTTTGCACTTGAGGAATTTTCAGCATCACCAATCATTTTGACTGACAAACTAGGTCAGTCCAAAAGGGTTAAAGGACAGTGGAAGCCAATGTGTTTACAACAAAACAACTTGGATTTTAGGTGAGAATATAAATATAATTAGGCATAATCAGAAGATGTTTAGATCACAAGTAATGAGATTCAAGAACAACAAAATTACAAATCCAAATGGCCTTAAGATCACTGTTTTAAAATTTAAGACTGTGTAGAATTTTGAAAAATTCTTACATTCTTACATTTAATTTGGAAACAAGTTAAAAGAACTGTGGAAAACAGTTTCCAAATTATGACTGAATTGAAGAATTTTCCAAAAGGCAACTAAATGAATTTCCAGATAGGATGAATGGCAAAATGATGGCCAGAAGGCCACTAGAGTTGAGAAGCAAAATGACAAACCATTTCTAATTTAAAAAAGCTAAAAATACTCCTCAATAAAACTCAGTAGAATTTATAGTGCTGATGTCCTGTAGACATATACTAACCAGACATGTAAACCTGGCTCCTGGTGATGACTATCCAGCATCCTGCACTAAAAAATGATGAAATTCCATCGTCGGTTGCTGCTGGCACTTTCTGAGTGTTATACATAGAAAGCAAAGCTAACAATTTTCTGCACACTGTATGTGTACTTTATGGGTGGGTGTATCAGCCTGGCTCAGATGATTGGTTACCACCTCTGAGTCAGAAGGATGAAGGCACATGTGGGGACTTGAAACTCATATTGTCTAAGATGATATTCCATTGTGCTGCATTGTTGGAGGTGCTGTCCTTCCGATGAGACATTAAACTAAACATTAAAGCGTTTCTCCCAGTGACCTGGCCAATAATCCCCCAAATAATATTGGTCATTCACCTCATGGCTATTTGTGGGAGATTGCTGTGTGCAAACTGTCTGCTGCTTTCTCCCACAAAACACAGACACTCCACTTTACAATATATCCTGTCAAGCGGTTTGGGATGTCCACCCAAAGTGTTAGGTGTTATACCAAATGTAACACTATTATGAGCAGGAATGGCCGTGGATATCACTTAGTGAGGAAAACAACACCAGTGGTGCTTCTTGCTCAAAGCGGGAAGTGAAGTTAGTGGCAACCGACAATCCAGAAGTCAGTCCTTTTTTTGTGCAAGGAGTGAGTCCTATATTTTTCCAAAGAAGTCAATTTAATTGAAAATTATTTTTCAGGATTAAATATTCTTACCAGTTCACTCCATCAGCTTCTACCCAAGCAAAACGGTATTCATTCACTCTCAGCATCAGTTGCAAACAACCTGCCACACACTGCACATACTGGGAACTCTGTAATAAGAAAACAAAATAATGAAGAAAATAATCATTGTTCACACTTATAATACTAACTCAGTGGATCATAAATATGTTGTTTAGACTTTCTCTTAAACTATAGTACTGTACATTTTTATAAAGTAAACTTCAACATATTCAAATGAAAATGCAACAGAATAAATCAAATAATTTCACCTATATTCAAATCACACCTTACATTTCTTTGCTCAAAGGGATTTAAATTAGATTCCATGTACTTTCTTTGATCAATTTCTCTTTACCTCACAAAATAAATGAACATAAAATTCAGAAGGTCCATTTACTGATCCAATATACCTTTCAGACCAGTTGTTTTCAATCACACGGCATTTCTATGATCATAGGAACTCAGTAACTATCATATTCCACACATTATTCAATTATCTGTATTTTCCTAGGTAATCTTCAACCCTGGTTCCTAATCAAATATTATAATCAACACAGCATTAACTGGTCCATCCATAAATCTAGGGGAAAAATCCTTCTAATACTGTTTTGCCCAAAATTGCACACAAAATTCCTAATGCGGCTTCACAAATACAATATTAGAAAACATATTCTCATTTTAGCGGGTATTTTCAATTTTCACTAAAATAGCAAAGGTATAGAATCTAAATTCAAACTACATTCAAATTGTTCTCTCTCATTTACCTCACTTGGAGAAACTGTTCCTGCTTCAGCACCTGCAGCACGCAATTTCTATTGGAAAGCAAAACAGAACAATTAAGCAACACCTAACTCAGTTGTACACAGTTGCTGATTGTATGTAGAGAAGATACCAGGAATGAAACAATTAATTAAGAAAACGTGTTCAGATAGAATCCAAGGCTACCTTTCTACCTTGCTCACACCCTCTTCCCTTTCAAAATCCATCTGAAAACATGTCTATGATTGCAACATCAGCCACCTCTCCTTTACCCCTCTCCACCATGTTCCACCCAAGCTCTGTAAAGCACTTTGAGACTTCTTCCTACATGAAAGATTCTATGCAAGAGCAATTTGTTTTTGTTCTTTGTATTGCAGATATAGCCTAAGCATTATTAGTCTCAATTGCAGGCCAATGGAAGTTTACTGGAATTTTCTTCCAAAATCCCCTTTTACCCGTGCCTGCCTTCAAAATCCTTTTAAATATCTCTCTGTTCCATGGTGCCTTTAGTCAACATCCTTAAGTTCCCACTCCATCCCTGCTTGTTGTTGTGAAGCCCTCTGAAAGGTTAATTAAAAGGAAGCACACTTTCCAAGTGTAAGTTATTATTGCCAATGAACCTACAGTATCGGTACAGCAGAGGTTTTTCACTCAAGTCAAATTGAAAAGGATACTAAGAATGGAAAGAGGTAAGAATTCTATAACAGATGAATATTAGAAAGCTCATTTCAATAAGCAACCGTGTTTATAACTTTGCACATAACTTGTCAAGGCCTTTATTTGGTTTGGATTAAAAGATAGGTCTGGTACTTGGTAGTCCAAATAATGTACAGTATATTACATTTTGAAAACTATTATTTGCTGAACTTCTTTAGTGATAATACGCTACTATCTCGAAACAATCATTCAGTATATTGAAAATACTGAACTCTCTCAGCTAATGTTAAATATCATCGAACCTGGGAACTCAGCTGAGTTTTAATCCAGTTGAAATAGTAATTCAGATCACTGCCCTCCATCAGTTCACGACCCCAAGCAGCAAGTTTTGCTATAATTCTTGCAGCCTGCAGAATAAAATGCAGAATTTCAATAAAGCAATCAATGCATGAACTGAACATCAATTTATAACTTCTCAAAAGCAATTTTTTTAAAGTATAAAATTATACCATTACATTGGTGTTTATACCTTACTGCAACCACACTCATAATAGATATAATGTATACCATACCAGAACAGCGGTACAATCATAACATTTCTCATACCCAGTAGACTTCAATAATTTGCTTTTCATCCACCTGAATATACATGTCTTATGATTTACATTTTTGGAAAATGTGCTACTTCAGCTAAATCTGACAATGTTCCCAATGATGCATGAATTGAATATATATATTTAACAACACTTCTATGAAACAAATTTAGTTAAGATTAATATTTTTAGCAGGTTGCAACCCAATGAAGCTGGAGAGATCACCAATCCAGCAAAGAGAAGCGAGAGACAAACTCAGAGGGAGTTTGAATCAGTGAGACTTTTCAGATCTATTTTGTAATGAAGGATTTTACCAAACACTGCTTCTAATAATTATATTATTGTAAATATACTTGTATTTTCAGTGGGAAATGCCACCAACTACACACATTCCTAAATTAATTTGTTTAATTGAAATAGTACTTCAACTTTGGATTATTTTAAAACTAAAATTACTAGGCATTGCAAAGTATTTACTGGCTTGACTATTGCATTGTACATGATCTGCACGTTTATACAGTTTTATAATTTGTGATCCCATGCCATTTTGGTCATCTCATTTAACATGTCCAAAATAGTATGGCTTCCCTTACTGCCATTGATGTGAAAACAAGCAAGTTGTTATCAGAATCCAGCAAAAATACCCATGAATATCTACATTAACAGACTACTTCCTTTAAGTCCTGTTAGCTTTGTTGATAATTATGACTGCTTACTTAGTTTTAGTGTAATCAATGACTACACACCGTTATTGCTCAGTGTTCAAAACACTCATAAAACTCATTCTCATAAAATCTCAGTGGGCATCAAAATGGTTTCTATTTCTAGCAGACTCCAATATTAGGGTTCAATATTTTAGACGATTTAACTTAAATTTAACTAAAAATTGGTGATTTGCATCTAGATTATCAAGATCCAAATTATATTTGTCAATTCCAACATGAGAAGAGAATTATTAACCAAAGCACAACCTTACATAAATGCACATAAATGAAACTGAATTTTAAGAAATTAATGATAACTTATATGTACAATAAGCTTGTGAAAGTGTTGTGGAGAAAGGTTTGCTTTGATCCTCACGCTTCACATCAAAATGTAACATTCATTTGTGGAGGCTGAAATCAGCTCATCATATCAGAAGTTCTGTAAGTTCTTAACCTTTCTGTATCCTGTTCTATTTTAATTGGGACCAATACTATTATAGCAAAATAAGTCAAACTGACACTCACCATATGAACAGTAAACAAGTCCTGGCGATTCAACATTGGTAAAAAGTAGGACCAGGCAGTGCTCTTTGTTTTCTTGGCATAATCAAAGAAAATGTTGACTCGTTGGTGATTCTCCTGTGATAAGCAAAAAAAAATTGAGTTCTTACCACATAATTCTGTTTCATTAAACATTTAATGCCAATTATTTAAGATAAATGGTGCAGTTTTTGTGGAGATTTAAAAGGAAAAACAAATCTACAACTTTGTGCTATAATACCTGCACATAAATCATACCTAAGTGTACAATGGAATGATCTACAAATCTGAGAAGATGACTTAACCATCAAATAAGTTTAGTCAGTTAGCCAGCGCCAGAAGCCAACTATCAACTTTTCTGATTAGCTCAGATCTACACTAGACTTGTGCTCTTGGTGAGTCAGTGCTCTGCTGCAGGACGCAATGATGGGGTAACCCTGTATAAGTACCATAGGAACATTTATGCTAATGCGACCCATATTTCATGTTTTATGCTAATGCAACCCATATTCCAAGCACTCTGGGACGCTACTCTACGTGAGGGGTGCTATATAAATGCAAGGTGTTGTTATCTGAATTAGGAATTAATTAAGGAATGTGAGACTTGACTTCCTCTTCGACCTGCTGACACTTCACTCCTCTATGTACCGTTTCGCTCAGCTGGCCAGGGGCTGTGCTCAGGGGCTGTGCTTTCAACCATGATGCCCCAAAACTCTGGAACTCTTTGTCTCAATCCCTCCACTTTACTCCCTCTATCAAATAACACCTGAAGACCTTTCTCTTCAACCATCCCTACGATCACCTCCCTTTCTCGGTGTCAAACACCGCCACTGTTAAGGGTTCTGAGACGCTACCTTGTATAAAGAGCTCTATATAAACAAGTTGTTGTTATTTTGCTCTTTGTCCAAAAACCCCTGCCTGTCCAGCATCCTGGGACATCTTTCCGAAGTGAAAGGCGTTATACAAGTGTAATTTCTTGTTCTTATTGAGAAGCGAGAATGCTGCCAACTAATCTAGGCTGAAATGATAATTAATTATGGATTCCCTCCATATCACAAAAACAACCATTTTGAAAATGTACTAATTTATATGGAATCATCTATTCACTGATATTGTTACTTTAGTGACTACAGTGCATATCCTAAAATAGTGCATTTAAATACTTGCATTTATATATACCATTCAACAGAGCAACATTTCAAATCTCTTCAGAGATATGCCTGAACTCCAAGCAGGAAGGATGGAGGATGAAGAAGAGAGAGGTGAACATAAGTACGGATGAAGAGGTAGACTTTCAGGAGACTTGTAAGCATAGATGGTGGGGTGGGGGGGTCAAAACAGAGGAGATTAGGGAGGGAGTTCCAGAGAATAGGGACACAGTGGCTGGAGGTGAATCTGCCGCACTTATTGACTTAATAGATGGAATTTTCTAAGCTTTCCTGTATCTCAACGCCCAATATTTAACTGCAAATGTTTTTATATATGATATCATATTATATTATATGTGGAGTCCTGTAGCTCAGTGGTTAGAGCACTCGCTTTGCAAGTGAGAGACCTAAGTTCAATTCCAGGCAGGGCGAAACCTTGGGCAAGTTTCCTTACTCCACACGTCTAATAATAATCCCTCCAAGACCAAAACCAATAATAAATTGGTCATTTTCAATCCATGACTATTTGTGGGACACTGCTGTGCGCAATTGGCTGCCGCGTTCGCCCAGAAATATACAGTCAATTCACTTTACAGTATATTCTGTGAAGCACTTTGGGACATCTAGAAGACGTGAAAAGGGCTATATCAAATGCAAGGATGATTATTATTATTATATGGCTCATAGTTCTGTGAAAGATAATCTCGTACAGAGTTCTGTGGAAGAGTTAAACCAGAATGAATTGAAAATTTACGTTATGATTGAACGCCTGAAGCGACCTTGATATTTCAAAATGTTGATCAATTTCTGAACCAGTGTGCAACCTTGACTTTTTTTTGACCCTCCGCTCTCATTTTTTCCTTACATCAAGGCCCCAAACAAGACTGCTTTTCTTTGCTATATTGTCTGCCGCTGTCCCTTTGCTGAGTCGCCTTGACTTCTTTAATGCCCTCCTTGTCACAAACTCTAGCTCAACAAAATTTTGGCCACTCTCATTCTCATCTGTCAATAAAACCTTCAGCCTAATCTTAAGAGAATGTATAGCCCTTTCCTGAACTGCAACTGGTCATATTTTATCCAAACTATAAGTTAACCAGAGAGCCAGGATGTAGCTGCATAAATATTTTTTTCAAGAGGAAAGACATATTTTTGAAGAAGAAGGACATAATAGAGCTATCCAGCCTTCATGGTTCTAAGACCTTCCTGGTTTCATGAAAAGCAAAACCTGTCCTTCAAATAAGATGCTAAACCAAGGTTGTGTGCTAAGATGGACATTAAATAACACCACTATTCAAAAAGAGAAGTGTGCTTCTCCCTTCAATTGATGACTGTTTGTGGGACACTGCTGTGCGCAATTGCCATTTCGCCCACAAAAATACAGTCAATTCACTTTACAGTATATCCTGTGAAGCGCTTTGAGACATCTAGAAGACGTGAAAAATACTATATCAAATGCAAGGATTATTATTATTATATATTATTATTGTTCTGGATGTTAACTTTCCAGACTAATTTGTTAGTTGTGGCGGTTTGTGGGACCTTACTGCGCACATATCACTGCTACATTTGCCTAAAAAATGTCAGTACATTTCATAATTACTGTAAAATGCCTTAAGACACTTCAAAATAAAAACACACTATAAAACTGCAAGTTCTTTCTTTTTCTAAACAACAACAAATTGCTTTTATATAGCGCCATTCATATCATAAAGACGTTCCAAGGTGCTGGACAGTGAATGGTTTGGGGGCTGGAGTCAAGAGGGGTGGAATGGAAGGGGGTGGAGGTGGGAAGATGACCAAAGGCACAGTCGAAGACAAAAGTCTTGAGACGAGCTTTGGAGCCAAGGCACAAACATTCTTCGTTATTCAATTATTTATAAATACATGAATGAGATGTGGAGTGACTATGATGATATAAAGCTATATTTATATTTTTTTGGTATGCTAATGTACTCTTTTGTGCTGAATTGTTTATATAAACAATAAATGGCTTTCAGCTGCTCATCTCATAGGATATTCATCTTTAGCATTTACCATATTTTGGGTGTTGTTTTTATGTTTTATATTGCATTTGAAAAAAATATAGAACAGATTTTTTTAAACAATTAAGCAAATGCACAAATTCATTAGCACTATTCAGATAACTTTCAAATGAGCAATTAGAAAATAAAAAGTGTTCATCATATATATTGCAATATTAAAATCAATTATAAATCATACTCTATACAAGCAAAATCCTTCATGGCTAAACATAAACATACCTGCAGCATATCATCTATCATTGTCAGTATGTACTGTACAGTTTGTTCCTTGGAAATATGAGCCATCAAATTCAAAAATGTTTTGGCACACTGAAAAAAAAGTGTTAAGACTTTTAAATGTTTTCCTCTTCCAAACATCTACACAATCCATGTCAAATCATTTGAAAATGAATTCTTTTAGGAACAGATTTGTTTGGTAGCATTTTAAAGTAATGACAGTTTGTGTGTACAAAAGACTTATAAAATGTTAAAGTTTGCTACGCACTACATTTGACTATCGCTAGTTACCATCTACCTTCTACTCTGCAATGATCCTTTTATGACTTGTGAGCGATTCCATGGAACAATATGAAATAACTTCAAGTGAATAAAAGGAATATTGGAAATAAAATCTGAATCTGCGAACTTTTCTATTTCTCCAACCTTAGATATTTGTTAAATGCATACCAATACTTTAAAGTATTTAATCAATATAAAACTAATATTTAAAAAATAAAATACACTAAATAATAATCCAATATTTTGTGGGATTAATTTATAAAACATAAAGCAAATCCCATGGGTAACCAGACTATTGAGGAGGTGATCCGCTCGGGCAAACCAGGTTTTCTGGCTGTGCTAATCGTAACCCACAACATTTAAAATAAATAAACTAAACTAAGTAAAATAAATCCTCTCTAACTATTAAAATAAAAATGAATTTTAATTCAATAAGAAAGACAACAAAGTATGCACACAAGTTTACCTGGTGACCTTCTTCATCCAGTATCGTCTGCTTATCATCTGAACGGGCAGCTTCAAACTTTTTAATGAATTCACAATCTTCATGTGAAATCATTTGTCCTCTGAAATAGATCCCAGGTGTCAGAAAATATGTTGTACAACTAATAATAATGTTTGCATTTAACATAGTTGCGTAGAAATAACGCCCGAAAACTCTTCAACGTGTTCTTGAACACTTCAACAGACAATTTATCGAAAAGTGAACCTCTTGCTCACAAATACATCTACCCAAATTAATGCTTCATTCAGATCGGCAAACGTACTATGTGGCACAAACCCTTGGCATGTGATCTAACTGACTGTGGATTGTTAGGAAGCAAAATATTTCATAGAGATCCATAAGAATGGTTCACTACTGCTTCAAAAGAACCCACTAAAATTTCCTCACTATCTGAGTACAAAGACTGGTCAATATTAACAAATTATATAGAGTATTCTATATAGACCCCAAAAGGGTACAATATTTTCTCTGAAGAAGCCTACCACATCTCAGCTGTGGATCAGTTGATTCACAAAATAGAATTATACACACCTTGTGGAAACTGTATCAATATATATTATTTTCCTGGAGTGGTCACATATTGTTTGCCACATATGGTAGCCCTTGCTGTCTAGTTATGTCTTACAATGTGTGGTTGGTACACACATGACTGCAAGGACAAGATCAATTGCGTTTTGCACCTGTGGGAAGCTAGCATTTGGAACAACAACTACTTGCATTTATATATTGGAAGAACTATTGCTCCCTCTTCAACTGCTGGGTCATACTGAGTAGGGTCTATTATAACCTGTTTCAGTTTATCTAATTGCGCTTGACACAACAAATCAGCTGACTTAAGTGGATTCCTGGAAGGTTCCAGTGGCAAAAGTTGAAGGATGTGATAGAACTCAGAATGAACCAAAATTCAATCACAGCTTCCCGTAATGTGCCTGAACTACCTACACTGCTCTTCTGTCATGAAAAGTAACTCCTTCTAGCAGATTTGCTGTCAGTATCTGCTATGGATTATAAATTTCTGCTGCCTTTTTCACTCTCAAATCTTCCTCTCCTTCCCCTGGATATGGCCAGCAATGATTTCTACACCCAAATTTCCACAAAAACACTATACTTCCCTTCTTTCAACACTCATTTACTACTCACAACAAATGCCTTTGTTCTCATTACTAGGCCTGTTAATGTGGCTATGCAGCTGCACAATGCTACACAACTTCTTAATAATCTATAAAAAGTTCTTAAACAAAATTGTTTTTTTTCCTCCTTCTCGGCAGTTATTTTTAAACTTGTTTCTAAGGAAATCGTTCTCGGATGCGTGAGGGGCACTATATAAATGTAAGTTGTTGTTGAAAGTATAAAATAATAATAAACACAGGCAATTTGCAACTTCCAACATTCCACCAGTTACCTCTACGACTTGCCCACACCCTACTCATCTACCCGCTCCTCTTCCCTTAGCTGGTACAGCTTTGCCTTCGGTCATTAAGTCCCTGACCTCTGAAACTCCCCGCTTCAATGCCTCTGTCTCAGCCCCTTCTTCCCTATCTTGAAATCCCAACTTGAGACCTACCTCTTCAACCGGGTCTATGGTCACCCTCTCTTCTCTCCTTTCTGCAATCCCTTCACTGTGCAGCACTCCTAGGTGTTATCCTGCATGAAGGGCACTATGTAAATGCAAGCTGTTGTTGTATTGTGCTAGATGTTTTTGCTAAATTAGGAACAAAAATTTTTTTGGCCCTCAAGAGAGAAAAAACACTTAAGAAAACATCCTTCAAACTATCACTCATATTATTTCATCTGTTAATAAAACTAATGCTGGACTGTTTACTCCATGAAGCAAAGAAATTGCTGAGAAACGTGCAGCACATATTCATACTCACTGAAGGTAAGACTGCCAGTTGACCTTATTCGCTCGAACTTCTGCTGCCTTTGCAGCAATAATATTGGTAGGAACTGCAGCATCCACAGCACCTCTTGTGTCCATCTTGTCGAGGGTCATTCACCCAATAATTTAGTACCTAAAAGGACAAAAAAAGGCAAGTATTTAACAAAGATGCTTCAGTTTCTAAGAGTACTGGCCAGTTGAAGGGTTTTATGTTAGCATCGAATGGCAGGCATCAACTTATCTACATATTAATAATAATAATCCTTGCATTTGATATAGCTCTTTTCACGTCTTCTAGACGTCTCAAAGCGCTTCACAGAATATACTGTAAAGTGAATTGACTGCGTATTAATATTGGTCCCAACATTGCCAATTCTTTTCTCGTTTCCCCTAATATCAGGCCATTATGCAGACTTCATTTACAAGTGGCAAACTTTAGCTAATCTCCACAGTAAATCATAAATTACCTCTGGGTAAAGAAAAACAACAACAACTTGCACTTATATAGCACCCTCCACGTAGAGTAGCATCTCAAAGTGCTTAAAATGTCCAGCTCTCAGTCCTAAAATTGCCCTTTGCAACTCTAAACCTATGTCCTCTTCTTTTACTGTCTGGTATATCCTAAAATATTGTTCTGGGTATACTTTTTCAGCCCCATTTAAAATGTTACACACATAAAATCCCCCGAGACATCAATCTCAAGACTGAAGAGCCCTAGATTGACTAATCGTTGCTCATAGCCTGGGCCAATAGAAAAGTGGGGCTGCAATTATTTCGGCGGAATCTGCTACAATCTCCCTCCTCCGCTGTGTCTGGGTCTGTGTCTGTAAGTGCATATCTCTCTCTCTTCTGTGTGTCTGTGTGTGTCTCTCTGTGTCTGAGTGTGCGTCTCTCGTGTCTGTGAGTGTATGTATCTGTATCTCTCTGTGTCTGTGAGTGTGATTCTCTGTGTATGTCTCCCTGTGTGTCTGTGTCTATAAGTATGTGTCTCTGTATCTTTGAGTGTGTGTCTCTGTATCTGTGAGGGCGTTCTGTGTGAGTGTGTGTCTCTGTGTCTGTGAGTGTTTCTCTCTCTGTCCCTGAGTGTGTGTGCGTCTCTCTATCTGTGAGTGTATGTCTCTCGCTCTGTCTGTGTGTGGTGGTGGCCCCCAGAAGCAGGAGGTGGTGACCTACTGGAGCTTGACAGTCGCACTGGTGTCAAATTTTCAGCAAATATTTTTGCAATTTTCTATTGGCTTTGCTCATAGCTCATGCTTCTAACACTGGGGATCATCCTCGTTGCTCTCCTCTGCACTGCCTTTAGGATCTGGGCCCTATATCACGGTGACCAAAAATGTATACAATTCTGCAATTTGTAAAGAGTAAGAAACAAAGCATAAATTATTTGAAGGAATGAACAGTAAGTCTAAAAGTCTAAATTATTTCTCTCTTGACCCTCACGGTATTATTATACTTTCTTACCCAATATGCTGCTCTGTGCCTAACCCTCTCCCTGTCCTAGGAAAACAAAACTTCTGTCTTCCCCCTTTTTCTCTCAGCCTCTAATCCTGATTAGTCAATTGTATTCCTGTCATTTAACTCAGCAACCTGTCATCATACATCAACCCATCTAGACTGGTCCAGTTGAAGTACATAACCCTTTGCATAACTTCCATAGCAACCTCGACAAAGTTCTAAGTGACTGCACATCGATAAAAACAATTCTACAGACATTCTTCAAGTTGTGATAATTTAACGCCGCCTTCTCTCTCCACATTATTTCCTGCGAAGTACTGCAATTAATAGTTTGTGATCTTAAGTAACCTTGTTTTCTTTACATAGTATTATAGTGTAAAATCCAAGAAACTCTGCCTTCATAACACTGTTAGGTACATAGTTTATCATACTTGGGCAAATCCCTGCATCATTATCTTTATACCCATGTATCCTCAGCAACTACCTGCCACCTCTATTAGAAACAATACTTTATACCAATAAATTATTAAAAGTACATATACCACAAATAAAAGCAATGTTATCAGTTGGTGATTTAGAAGACAGCAATGAATCCCAGTATAAAGAAAGTTTATACTTTTTATTGCATCATCTGAATTCCTAGTCGAGGATACTTACTTGCAAAGACTCCAAGAATTCTTTATTTAAATTCCAGTCTCATATCTGCATAACAATACAGGCTTTATCTAAACACCACTTCATGTATTACAAAATAGTTTGTTACATTCAAATCAATTATTGTTATTACACATTTAAGAGCAAAACATGTTGCCCTTCAAAGTGCAGTATTATAATCAATATAGTTGATATAAATGTATACCTTTATTTAGATACAATGTGTTATACGATTTCTGCACAAGACAGTTAATTTATCTTATAGAGTAGTTAAATTGATTGTTTTCTTCTTGATACTTCACTCTGAAGACATTAGCACCAATATAGTTGCAGCATTCGAATGTTTAGTTCAAGCACTATTGAATGGCCAAAATATATACTGTAACAGACTTCATTTTATCCAACAACAACTTGCACTTATATAGCACCCTCTATGCAGGGTAGCACCTCAGAGCCCGACTCCGAGCCAGGAAGAGGGGGGAGGTGGCCGTAAGTATCGACTTGAAAATACAATATTTACTTTCCTGGAGGATTAGAGTAACTCCTAGAGTAGTTCTTGTGTAAAAAAAACACTGGAATAATTTTCATTGCTGGACAAAATCAGCTATGTAAAAATCTTAAAGGCATTTCACAGCTCTCACAGAAGCCTCTGGCTTCCAACCTCATTGTAATTAAAAATACCTAGCACATTATTGCCAAAACAGTGAATCATTTCACATCAATATGAGCTGGAGGGAACAGGTTTAAAGAGGAGCTTGAACTCAAGAACCCAACAGCCATCAGCTCAACAAAGGATAAGTGGATAACACTTTTTTTCAAAACAAAATTCTAGATAATAAAAAGCCAGGGCTGAAAATGATAAGAGAGAAATGTATATGAATCAATTAATATCTGTGATGGTTAGATGAAGGTTAAGATTGTTTTTTCTTGGTTAATCAGTTGCCTGACACATGCAGAAATCCATCTCCCCAAGTTCCTCATACGTGTGTCACCCACCCAAGCCGACTTCTGTGTCTGTAATGGGATGCGCACTACGTCCCTGGAGATAGTGCACGTTCGCTGCTTACCTAATTCTGGAAAGTATTAGGTGGGCGTTGGTGACAATCTGCGCTTGGGAGACCCCAGAGTATGCGATGGGATATTGTTGAAATCCGAGACGCTACCCTGCGCGAACAGCGCTGTATAAGTGCAAGGTGTTGTTGTTAGGGCTTTGGTGTGCAGAATTAACAAAAGTCGGGGGTAGGGGCGGGGGTAGAATCCCGGCCCCTCGTCGTCCCCTCCAATTCCTTGCCAACAAGGAGGACAGTCACGGGTTGGTCATTTTGACACCCCGTAGGTTTCAGCCCTCAGCAGGTGGATGGATGGCAGGAAATCCCTGCGAGGCACAGCCCAGCCCGAAATGAGCCAGAGCCTGGCCGTCATCCTCCTGCCCAACGCGCGGACACCGGTCCCTGCCCACTGAGCCACTGGGGTTTGATGTATTTGAGGGCTAACAGGGGAGGCCAAAGGTGATTCAGTTGAACAGGTTGAGAGGTGTGTCTGGTACAAATGACCTTTCTGTGCTGAACATCTCTATGTTTATACACACACACACGCGCGCAATAATAATCCCTACATTTGATAAACAGCGCTATATCAAATGCAAGGATTATTATTATTATTATTATTATCCTTATTGTCACGACCTCGAAAGGATCTTTCAAGGGCTCAAAAGGTTTCAACGGGATTGATCTGGTAAACCGCGGCGCGGTGGGTGACTGGAGGCGAATGACAGCCATACAATACAATACTCAGCTCACGGGCCTACAATAACAGTGCGAAGAAAAACAAAAGGGCGAACACGATTTTATTTAAAAAAAAATAAAAAATAAAAAGGGGTCTCGTGTGCGCGCGCGCGCGCGCGCGTGTGTGTGCGTGTGAGAGAGAGAGAAAGGGAAGAGAAACCGCGCTGTGTAAATAAAGAGGAAACGCCGCTCGAGCGGCTCACACCGGGGGCTCCGGGCCCGTCCGGCCCGGGGCAAAGGTGGCAACGAGGAGCCGCGGCCCCGGGGGACAGCGGCGGAGAAATAAGCACCTGTTTATCTGACCCGTCGCCGTGTTGTTCGCGGCGACGTTGTTGTTATGGTTAGTAGTATTGTTATGGGCTGATGATGATGATGATTTAGGTGTGATTCAAGAGACCATAACCTCCTCCTCAGCTCAGCGCCCGAGGAGGAGGCCGCTGCGCAAACACTGGAGCTGCCCCTCGCGACTGATGGTGGTGGGGTGGGGGGTGTGGGGGGGGGGGGGGTGGAGAGTGACCGTTATTACCCGTTACTGTGAGGCGCTCGCTCCCCGGTGATTCTTTTTAAAAAGCAAACAAACGGTCACCCGGGCGCGAGACTCACCCGCACCCTGAGCCGAGCCACAACGTCACCGTCAGCTGCGACCGAGCGAGGGGTAGTCATGTGACAGATCACGTGATCTGCTCTTCTCCCCCCCCTCCCTTTTCGGCGCCACGTGACCGCTCGCCAGCCGAGCAATGCGGTCGGATTGGGCGGGTTTCACGCCCAATTGGGCGGGTTTTTGTTGCACGGCGACCGCCTGTTTTTTTGGGGGGAAAAAAACAGCTTTAACTTACACCTGCAAAACGTGTTTTCTCCCATTTGAAGAACTTTTCCGACGCAGTTTCATAAGCATTCACTCTGCTACCCATAGGAGGCAACGTGTGATGTTGGGCTACTTTCGCGCTTGTACTTGGTGGACTTTGGGCTACAAACGGGCTTTAATGTCTGGCCACAGTGGGGGCTCTCTCTGATTGACTTGACCTCCAGCAGCAAACACCGCAGGTCTGGTTCATTCAGAAGCTCACACGATAGGTCCGGGTGAAGGAGGGTGAAGATCCATCTGATCTCATCCCCTCTACAACACCTCCCCCCATCACGACAACAACAACAACAAGATTACACTTGTATAGCGCCTTTCACGTCGGGAGGACGTCCCAAGGCGCTGGGCAGAGTACAGCATTTCAGACCTGAGCTGGGGTCATGGGGGAGAAGGGAGGGGAAGGGGGTTGGCCGATGCCATGGTCGAAGAGGAGGGTCTTGAGGTGGGGTTTGAAGGAGGATAAGGAGGGGGTGAGGCGGAGTGACTGGGTGATGGAATTCCAGAGGTTGGGGGCAGAGTGGCTGAAGGCTCTCCCGCCAATGGTGGGGTGGGTGGGTCGGGGGACGTGGAGCAGGCCAGAGCCGGCTGAGCGGAGGGAACGGGCGGGTTGGTAGGAGGTTAGGAGGTCGCAGAGGTAGGGTGGGGCGAGGCCATGGAGAGCTTTGTATGTGAGGACCGGGATCTTGAACTAGATCCTCTGTAGGATAGGGAGTCAGTGCAGTCGGGCGAGAGTGGGGGAGATGGAGTCACGGAGTTTGGTGCAGGAGAAGACACGGGCTGCAGAGTTCTGGATTATCTGCAGCCTGTGGAGGGAGGAGTTGGGAAGGCCGACAAGCAGGGCATTTGCATAGTCGAGCCTGGAGGTGATGAAGGCATGAACAAGAGTTTCAGCGGCGTGAGGGGTGAGGTAGTGGCGGAGTCGGGCGATGTTATGAAGGTGAGGGAAGGCAGAGCGGGTCATGGTTTGAACAATGACAACAACAAAATTACATTTGTATAGCGCCTTTTAAGTCAGGAGGACATCCCAAGGCGCTGGACAGACAGAGTTTCGGACCCGAGCTGGGGGTCGGGTCGGGAGGGTGGAAGGCAGGGGGTGAAGGAGGGTGATCAAAAGCACGGTCTAAGAGCAGGGTCTTGAGATGAGTCTTGAAGGAGGCGAGGGAGGGGCTGAGGCTCAGGGACTGTGGGATGGAGTTCCAGAGGGCGGGGGCAGAGTGACAAAAGGTCTGCCCCAATAGTGGGGTGAGCGAGGCGGGGGACATTAAGCAGACTGGAGCACGCTGAGCGGAAGGAGCAAGCACGATGGTAGGGCGTTAGGAGGTTTGGCTGCAACATTTGCCCACAAATTGTACACAGTCACTACTGCATCAAGCAGCTTTTGAAATGTCCCAGCGTCCCTGATCTCCGCCACCTTTCATGGAAACATTTTTTGCAGTCTGTTGCTCATCTGCTTCAAGCTGGCCAGTAAATTTTCAAACCCACCCACAGGCTAAGGCTATGGGTAGGCTGGTCCCAGCTCAACCCGGCAGCAATAATAAATAATAATAATGCTTGCATTTGATATAGGACCTTATCATACCATCGAGACATCGAAAAGTGCTTCACAGGATATACTGTGAAGTGTAGTGACTGTGTGCTTTGTGTGCGAACAGCGGCAGACAATTGCGCATTGATAATAATGACAATAATCCTTGCATTTGATATAGAGCTTTTCATGTCTTCTAGACGTTTCAAAGTGCTTCACAGAATATACTGTAAAGTGAATTGACCGTATATTTGTGGGCGAAACACGGCAGCCAATTTCGCACAGCAGTGTCCCACAAACATTCGTGGATTGAAAATGACCAATTTGTTATTGCTTTGTGTTGGAGGGATTAATATTAGGCGTGTGGAGTGATGAAATTTGCCCAAGGATTCGTCCTGCCTGATAATGATAGTATAAGAATTCTAGTACTCTCAGTGACAAGCTGTGTGCAAATTGGCTGCAGCATTTGCCCACAAATTGCATAGTCACATCATTTTACAGTGTACCTTATAAATATTTATTTGAATAAATATGTATTTACAGTGTATGCTTTGATGTGATGAAGTGGAAGCTTTCTGAATTGCCTTTCTTGAGAAAACTAGGTTTGCTTGAGAGCTTTAATATGTGTTTTCCATGCACAAAGAACCAGTGATATAAAGCATACATGAATGTTTATGCCAGAGCTGGCCTTCCTAGGTTATAAGAGTGATATATTTCAGATATGTTGAAATACATGAAACTCCCAGTCTAATTTCACAATTGAAGAGGGATGTAGTTCCGTAACTGCGTAGCCAATCTGTCTTGCACACCACACTTCTTTGTATTCTGCTGATTCATGCCTCCTAGCCATTAGCCTTCTCTTATTCCTTCATTTTCTTCTCCACCTTGGGGGCCTGCTGTCTGGATTCATTTGTAGGCATGAATAATTGTGTGCTTCTATCACCCAATCTGACTGATTTTCACTAATATCTTACCAAAGATTCCTCTGTTACAATCTGCCGTGGAGAAATAGAGAAAGTTGACAAAACTGTGTAGCCACGATAAATCTCATTCGTAAAGCACTGAAATGCTACCCCTCATGAAGGGTCCTATATAACTGGAAGTTGTAAGTTCTTCAGATGTCAAGCTGAGCTTCTGTCTTCCTGTTCAGGTGGATGCTAAAGATTCTACGATTCAAGATGAGAATGGAATTTGTCTTGGTGGCCTTGCCGACAACCCTTCTTAGAAAATTAGTTTGTACCTTGTGGCAATTTGTAGGATGTTGCTTTATGCAAATTAACTGCCACATTCGCGTACAAAATACAGTCACAACAATTTACAATTTAAATCCTGTGCACACAGCAGCTACATCCTACATCAACTTGCATTTATAAAGTGCCCTTCACACAGGGCAATGTCTCAGATTATTATCAGTGGCGGTGCCTGATGGTAAGGCATTGATCTATGTTCGTGATTCCACTACGCCTGTACTCCTGCCTCAGTCATGACATTGGAAGAGATATGAAAAGAACAATAGGTATTTTAAAGACAGAAGATTAGTGAGCAAGTCATGCAGGTCCTCCATAATGTCATTCAGTTCATTGATGCTACGGGTTTGATAGATGCCTTGAGCAACTTGCCTACCTAATCTCTTGACCTGCAATTGCCTTGTGGGACAGAGAAACATGAAGAACAGAATAAATAACAAAACAATGCCTGCTATTCTGCTTATTTCACGCTCCCCATGTTGTTATGCTTTTTTACGGCTGGCTACATTCACCTTCGATGCTTCCTTTGGTTCTACCCACATGCATCATAATTTTTATTCTAAATAAACAACATTTGCATGTGCACCTCAGAGCACCTTGTAGTTACAATTTCTATAATTTTTGTGCTTTGAACATGAGTTGAATTCGGGTAGAAAATCTTTTGTGGTTTCCTTCGCCTCAAGAAGCATTTTAAGGAGAAGTAACAAAAATAAGAAACAAGCACAATACATTGGAAGTGATGAAACAAGGCAGAGTTCTATTAAGTGCTGTTAATGTTTGTACAAACATAGGAGAAGGAGCAGGTCATTTGGCCCATCAAGCTTCTCTCATAACGTCTATGGCAACTTTAGTTCATATCCCTTAAAATCCCTACTTGCCACATATCTATAAAAAATGTCCACATTAAATCCAAGTGACTTAATCATTTCATCACTCCATTTTTTAATTGATTGTGATTGACATGCAGGTGTTTGATAGCTTGATAGTGTGCAGCACAACAGTCTCTTTGTCTTTCTAAGAGTATCTGAATGGTCAAGTAGAGAAGGCACAAGGTGAAGGAATTTTGAAAGAGAATTTCAGAGATTTCTAAAGCAAAATGTAATGAGAAAATCCTAAGCATCCTAGGTCAGCGGCAGAGAAATAAGATTTCACAGTCATCAGCTTCTCAGTTGTTTTTGAAGGCAGGTTATGCTCTATTTGTTTCTCCCCTTTGGTTTACGCAGATCAAGTATCTCCTGCAACCAAGGAAGCAGGGTGACCAGCTCTCAGCTCTCTGCTACGGTGCTTTTGCACATTGAATGACGGTCCCTTTCTCCTTACAGACAATGCTTGGCCTCTGCTCAACACCTCTCTGCACTGATACAGATGAGAGCAGCTCAACAGAATAGGGAATTAAATGTGTGCTCCACTAATCTGTGCCTTTCACACTGTATGAATATTTAGAAGTGCTTAACTGTGGTAATGCTTTGCAAGTTCTGTATAATTTATAACTCAAAACCTATTCTGTATTATAATCAAGACCCAAAAGAAAAAAACCCTAAAAGATGCACTTAATTCCTTTTCGATCTGAACAGAACTGAAAGTGTTCCAGAAAAGAGAAATTTTACTTTGTAAATACAGATAACCAGAGGGCACTTGAGAAAGTGCTATTGATAATGCTCCTCTTTTCACAACTGTAGATCAATTTAATATCCGATCAGATTTCACATATCCTGCAGATTCTTAAGAGTCATATCTTCTGACTCATTGATTCTCAGTTTGTTACCAAAATTTAGCAAACTATCCGTTCTGTAATGTCAAGAAAAGCAGGAAATGGGGCTGAATTTTATCTGATAAATTGCTGTTTGGTTTAGACAATTATCTTTCACCTCCTTCCCCATCCACATAAATAAATCAAAATAAACTCTAAAAATGATCCCATCAATGTCGAAGGAGCAATAGACATGTGTGTT